TTGTATAAATTAAAACTGTCAACTATGCTACTATATTTCCCCCACCAGTTCTAGGGCAAAGAAATTCACGAACGCTGCAGAAGGCATTATCCAGCAAAAAATTCTTTAGTTTTTTCTGAAATCTATTTAAATCCTGTTTGGTTTTTAATGAAGGAGAAATAACATTAACACTGAGTTTATAAAATAAAAATATAAATTTTGTTCGTCAAGAATATTCAATTTAACCCATAAATAAAATATTAGTAATTTGATTGCATTTGATGTTATGATTGCCGCAGTGCAGACAACGACATTTCGGCCTGTGAAGTCCCAACCATCAACACAACAATTGTGCGATTGAAATTTACCAAACAATGTTAAACAAATGTCTGGTAACAAAAAGTTATTGACCTTGCTTCTTTGATAATAATAATAGAATTCGTATTTTCTTTATACTGTATTATCTTTCCAAGGAGCATTAATAATGTTAATATATTTTTAATGTTTGATTGAAATTAAATATGAATCTTTTTAGATGGTTATGATTTAATAAATAATTATCAGTTGTAGGTTGATGTTATATTTTTATAAATATTGTATTTTATACGTTTCCTCATTTAAATACGTTTGCTATACAATGTGAAATTGTCTACTTCAGCAACAAAGGAATATTGATTCCAATCTTCCATCAGTTTTTTTTCCTTTAGTGAGTCTATCTCTACGATTAACGATGGATCTCGTGGTTACTAAGCTCAGTGAGTGTAACTCCAATTAACATTATAAAACAAAATTATGGGTAGGCCTACACTTTTTCGAATTTTCTTGTGAGTGCCTTATTTGGTAAAACTTATTCTAGGGATCATCTCTAAATACATTTAACATTCTATTCTAAATACTGTATACACATACATAGAAAACCCTACTGTTGATGACAATTGGCTCACCATGTAGCGGAGATCCATGACAGCGATGGCTCAGGGCTCGGGCAGCTACTGGTCACCTCAGGAGGATACACAAACCATGACCTTCACTCAAGGTCATTGCCTCCCAGATAACCAGCTGATACTACCACTGCGCAGCTGATTACAGGCCTACCTTAATATAGCATGCGAGCTCCAATGTTGATGTTCCTTTGTTGATGATCGGTTTTGGATAACTACGTTGTGGTCTTCCAGGATTGGCATGAGTGTTGTTTTATACTTATTCTTTTATTAGGATTGTCTATAGAATTTGTTAGGATGGTAATTAGTTCAAAGAGTATATTTTTGACTTGTTAGGTCCGCTTTAGCATGTGGCTTTATACGTTTGTTCCTTAGTTGAAAATTTTTGTAAATTACACTGTAATGCAGGTTGCGCAACGTTCTTCCATGATTACTTTAAATTTCGTGTTTATCTGAACTGATTCTTTCTCCAGTTTTTCATTACACTATTTTTGGAATTATTTACTACTATAAGTGCCGAGGACACTTTCTCATTTTTAATATATTGTAGTTAAATTTTCAGAATCAGTTATTTTGGTATTTTATAGAAAGTAAGTCTATTATTTTGTGAAATTCAATAAATACAAACTCGGTGAAAATAAAATTGCAGCATTCATGTTTGTTTTGTGCATTACGATGATCAATCGTTTAGTTCACACATGTTAGCTTAAACACAAATTTTAGAACTGTCAGCTAAATTAATTTTAAATCAACTAAACTCACTAAAAATGCTAAATACACGATCAGTCCCAACAATAAAACAAGATTTGAGTCTCAAGAACGTCAAGACTTCAACCTTGATTCAACCTTATCTTAAATCTTTCCCAGGTTTTTATCCCAGACCTTGCTTTACCACGGCAGAAATCCAATAATACATTTCACCTTCGTCCCATGATTATAGTGTTGCATATTCAAGATAATTTAAATTCGAGTATAGTCCTAGTTAAAGATTTATAGTGAGAAATAAACTCTAGATACATATTGGCACAAAATTTAGATTATTTTATGAAAATCTAGAGCAGCAATTACTGCAGTAACCAGTCTACCTTGCTCCTCATGGAAAAGATTCCCTTTCTGGTTCACAGTAGACAAAAACCGAGGTCCTTCGTTAAAATATTCCAAGACAAATCAACTGCAATGATGCATTCTAAGGTATTTTTATACAAATATTCAATTTAATTGCCTTGACACAAGAAGGATTGTCTGACGAGGAACGTTTAGCCATTATGTGTTAACTATTTTATTTCCTAAATTGTAACTCCCATTTAAAATAAATATATGTAGTTGTAATTGATCATACTTCCAACCCTCCCAATACCAATTAAGTTTTCTCTTTTTAATATTACACAGCGATACGTTTAATTAAATAAAAAACATGAACTTAAAGATTGGAGAAGTTGAGTAGGCCACCGAGAAGCTCTGTCAATTTACTTGGTTGGTCTACCACTCTACAGGTTTGTGGTTTGTACGCTTATATGGATAAGCCATCCTCTACTAAAAGTGCGACCATTTCTAAACACTTCAATCCAGAAAATACATTTAATCAGCTTAAATAACTTCGTTGCTGTGTTAAATACACTACACATACATTTCGTAACTGGTGTCAATAATGTGTCAGGTAATGTAAAACAAATTATTGCAATTCCGGGCCTAGTAGTACATAGCTGTTGAAACCATGCAAAAGAATCAGTTATCAATCATATAAATTATTTAAGATGGGGACACCACTAGGTGCGTATTTTAACCCAAATATGAGTGAAGGATGGGTTGCGCGATCTTGTAGTCTTGTTAGTGACTAAGACCGACATGTTTCTTAGACACAGCTGTTAATTAATAGCCCATACAGACAATGGCAAATTAACGATTTGGTCTATTATCAGGACACACTGCAGTCAGTCTTAGTAGCATACTCACTAGTGCGGATGTTAATCCACACCAGGGAGCATCGTATCCACAGTGCATGCCAATAAATATCCACAAATTGGGACCTCCTAGTAGCTTGAATAGAGGATGACGCCACCGTCCCAGTTTGTAATAATAAATTTTAATAATAATAATAAATCCCCCTAATAAATTGTGATAGAGAACATTACTTAGTTTCTTAATTGAAATGGCTGTAAAGCATTGTCTTCTTCACACATAGAAGCTTCTACAGTAACCTAAGCTGCATAATGCTTTGTTTACATTGAGTGACTCGTTATGCATTCAACAGAGTTACCACGTTGTCCGCACGTCAAGGTCGTACACTCGCTAACTTCCCAACTAACCGGTCGCTAACTGATGTAATGGAGCCATTGTCGAACTGTTTAACAAGTTATTGCTTATAATTGTTTCGATATGTATTTATAGTGTTTTAGACCCGAGAATCTAACATTTAAGAGGTCATTAGTGTCATAAACTATAACTTATTGGATGGTTTATAAATTATTATGTATCTTTTAACTAACTAATAGTTAATATTTTTCAATATTGGGTGGATTTCGTGGTGTGTAGTATTAATTCCAGACAAAAGACAGTTGGTCATAAAATTATGAAATTAAAATCTTCCTCAATAAACCAACCTCAAGGAATAAAGCAAAATATTTTCAATGTTTTTTTTAATGGAGGATGTATAACTTCTTGATCAGCATCGTGCGTGTTATTAAAAAGATTATAATACAAAATTACCTGAAAAACAAATTATACGTATATTTACACTTATACTGTTGACTTACAAGATAGTAAATACATACATATACAAGTTGGTCAGTGGTGAACGATTTCGATTGGACAATTTTTAACGCATTTAGGGTTGTAAAATAAGTGCCTGCCATAAAAATAAGTGAAAAAAACGACATGCCGGCTGTGTGAGTAACTAAGGACTTCCGGACAGTTTAAATTCGATATTTCCAGTAACAATGCCCTAAAATATTGGTAGAGAGTTCCAACCTGTATTCCACCTATATGTAGTTCCACCTGTATTACTGAGATTCATACACAAAGGACATTGAGGCAATCTTTGCCACTGCAATACTACGACTCAGGATGTCTACGGTGAGTGCTTTAGACTGTCGAGTTGTCTCGACATAGCCTCTGTAGAGATTAGACACTGGAAAGTGAAACTGACCTTCATGAACGTTTGCACTCAGCGTGGTTTAAACTTAATGATATTTATGTTATTTTTTTTACTTTATTAATATATATATTTATTTTTTGTTTTGGTACTAAAGCTTTTTGGTGAATCTATAAATACCAAATAATAGATTAAATACCTACAGTCCACCATTTCAATAAAGTAGATTTTCTAAGACCTAGGTTTTAGCACATTCTTGTGCTATCAGGATCCAGTGCGAAATATTCAGTCCATCGGACGTCGGTGGAACGTCACGAAGAAGAAGAAGGGTGGTTGAGTTTTAAGTTATGTATACCTATGGACGAATTGTGGTTTTGATAACATATGAAAACACTCTTACTCTTATTCGTCATGTCTTCGTGAGAATAGTTTGTTTAACATGTAAAGTTATTCCTGCTTTGACTAGCAATTGTAAAACATAGTAGTATTGTAAAAAAGTAAACTTTTAGAGCAAACAACGCTCTCATCTTTCTCGTTTTGGGAAAAACCCACTACTATATTTTAAAGACGAGTCTACCATTAGCTAATTACATTAGTGTTAATTAAGTATGGCTATTGCAACTGTCTTTGTAATGAAATAGTTGATAAAAATACTTAAATGTTAAATCTCTAAATCCAATAATCAGAAAACTTCATTCTATTGAATTTGTTACAATTACATTTAACTCTTTCATTGTTTCTAGTGGTGCTAGAAACTAACATAAAAAAATACTTCGTCAAAAAAAACAAAGAAAAAGTTGTAACAAATATTTTGACTTGTCTATTAAATTTTGTGAAATTATTTATAGACCAAAATATTCTGATTCTAATTCAAACATTTAAAAAAATAATAATACAATCGAAAATTTACAAACTACTTTCTAGCTTAACCAAACCCAAAGGAAATCAAATCAATCATAACACATCGTATAAAAAAATGAATCCAATTTATTTCAACAATCCAGCTTTTAAAAAGTTGATGGGACATTTCATAACACATAAATTAGGGTAGATATGTACACAAAGAGCTATTGAGTATGATGATATTTACACGTTAATCATATCTTGGCGTAGAAGTACTTTCTCTTATGTGGCTCCACAATGATACGAGGGTCCATTGTAGAGCTGGAGGTGGTGCTTGTAGGGGTGGTATTATCGGTGGTAACCATCTCAGAAGTTCTCGTTGGGTTGTTTCTCAGCTCACTGCTGTCTAGGTACTTCTGGAAAAAAATTCATAAATTAGGATTTATATTAGATTTTTTTATAAATGCCAAAGTAATTGATGTATTTGCTATGGTAATGTAATCCAAATTTTAATTCTACGTGAAACAAGACAAGTTTTTACAATTAATAAAAAAAAACTTCAAATAAATATTAAAAATTACTACCCTTTATTGGAAAAGTGTCACAATATCTGACTTCTCATCACAATACATTAACTGTCATTGTAATCAAGCACTCGATCACAAAATATTTTTTTGCTTGTAGCTTCTACCTTTACCTTTACTATTCACTTAAATGAAATCTACACTTTTTGTTTCTAGTTTCTAGATAATATAATGTAAGAAATGAAAATTTTTGAATTTGTAAATTATTAAATGTTGAAATTGATGCATTAGTCAAAGAAACCCTACAATAAGATTAAAGTTAAAGCAAAAACGTCCGAACTTCGAATTGAGTTAAACAAAGTACGAAAAAACTATAAATAATAGAATGCAAAGTTGGAACACGGTAGGGCTCAATTTAAGTCAAATCCATCGTGGTCAATGGCATCATGGCAAAAACGTTTAGCTACGTTTTTACAGTGTAGTTTTGTAATTGATATTTACATTGGTAAGTTAAAGGTAAAGCTCACCTTATTACCAGGCCGCCTGATTTGTTTTCTTCTTGTTTTGCTCTTCGCCCTCCTCGGTGTAGAGGTAGACATTTCCAAGTCAATCTCAGCACTGCTCTCCTGTACTCGGGCTTCTCCAGTGTCTACCCATAGATCGGAGTTTTCCCTGTTCGTCCTCGACCGTGGTTTATCTTGACTCCTCGCTTTACTATGTTCTACTCTTTCTCTGTGAGGTTTAAATACATCGTCCATGCGGGACACAGCTTTTGCAGGTATCGGCATCACCGCCCATTCCCCTACACCCGTGGTTGGGTTCACCATGTACACCAGCATCTCCTGGAAATTTTCCTCCTCAATATCCCTGGATATTCGGGACACAGGACCTCTGAGATCTGGGTGGTCATAGATAGAGTCGTAAGTCCTCACTTTGTCTGAACGACTTTCAGGACTGTACGTTCTTCGTATCACTTCCTCTTTTGTGATCGTTCTGTGCTCAAACTGTTGAAGTCTTTTGGGTTTGAAACTTCTTCCTGAGTTAGATGGTTCTTCCGAATAGATTGGTAAGTGTTCAGTAGACGTAGTGGTCGTGGATTGTTCTGTACTTGAGGGTTGACGTTTCAGCACAGCAAACATGTCTACAACTTTTTCAATAGGTTTTCCGTACTCCTTCTTGTATACAACCTTTGGCTTGTACATCCTTGTTGTTGTGCTGGGAGGGGGTTCTGTTGTGGTTGTTGTTGTTGTTGTTATTAATCTCACGGTGATTGGTTCGGGTAAGTTGTAGAGTTTGGATCTATTGCCTTCACCCGCAGTTCTTGATGTCATCGTAAGTTTTGGGAATCTAATTTTTGGTTTTCTAGATGGAAATGTATGCCTGGCCTCTTGCGTATTCTCTGAGTTACTTATTCTTATCTTGGTACTCGGGCTTTGATGCATCGGGTCTGGTCCAGTAGCGCGATATCTACTACTATACTGAGGTCGGTTACCTTGTGCAAAACCCTCAGTGTTTCTCGAAGTAGAGATAGGAATTGGTGTTGTATTTATGTTTACATTTTTTACACTTTCTTTCTCTCCAGTGGGTTTATTTGTTTCTTCTTTTTCCTTCGCGAGTATCTCAGCGTATTTCTGTAAAAGAATTTTTTTCAATTCCAAACTCTCCTTGGAGTTGATGTACTTATCGTTTTCGTGATTGCGTTTCACTCTAAACTTAGTTTCACTTTTTCTTTCGTCGCGTAAGGGAAGATCCCATAATGTTGTCAACTTTTCACTCTTGGGCACCTCAGGGGTGTTTTTGATCGTTGTCTTTGGCACAGGAACAAACGTACGAATGTGTTGATGAATTAATCTACCTTCTGGATTCATTTTCAAAAATGTTACTGTAGTAGGCACTTTATTTTGTTTAGCTATTTGACTAGCCGCACTCGAAATAGGGTCCAACTCTGAAAAAGTGTCTGGTAAATAAGGAGTGTTGTCGCCACTCAAATCTTCCACACGAATATGAACAGGTGGATGAGTTTTAAGGTATCCAACCGAACTCATAGGTACAACATTTACATTTACGTTATATAGTGATGCTGTACCATGTATAACCTTTATTCGAGGATGGTTGGAGGTTCCTTTGCTTCTAAACGAGATAATCACATTTTTTGGAGGATGAAGTCGGATTGGTCCTGAAGAACCTGAATGAATTTCTGAAAGTGGAGGTATTGTTGTTTTACGGGGTTGGTCACCATCTCTTGTATGTTCAGTACCATTTTTCAAGACTTCAGAGTTTTCCTCCAGTTTTTTATGCTTTTTTTCTTTTTCGGGTAAAGAAAATGTATTTTGTGTTCTGCTCTCTTGATGTTCGGTCTCATGAAATGGTCGGTTTTTGTTAAAAGAAAACTTGAAGTTTTTACTCCTATCTTTGGACGCTGACTTTTTGAATAAATTTTCTTTCATCTCGAGTTTTTCATTTGCGTGGTCCTTCTTCGCAAACTTGTTCGAAGTTAATGCAGTCCCACGATTACTGCTGCTACTCCTGAACGAATCCCCATTGTTCTCTGGAAGTGATTTGATGTTTTGTTTTATGTCTGAATGGAATCCAAAACTATCATCTGGAGACTGAGTGGTAAAGTCTGGCACCCCAACATCGGTTTCTTTGAAAAAGGGATTATCCAACGGGTCTTCTCCAAAGTATTTAGCTTTTAAACAATCGATCTGATCTCCAAGTTTTCCCATTCGTTGTTTTTCAGGTTGAGGGGATTTATTCCATTCTCCATCTTTTCCTCGTTTCGGAACAACATTTTTAGGAGGTGTGGGCTCTTCACATCTTACGGATTTATCTCTTAATTCGTAGAACTCCATTCCTCCTTCAGTTTTCTTTGGAATATCTTTTGGGCTTGTTGCGTATCTCAACGGAGAATATTTGGGGAACACCACGGACGCTGGTGAGTAATAGTAAGGATATTTTTCTGTGTCAACAGGAATTTCTGTGGTTGTACCACTAGCTGCAACATTTATTTTTTCTGTAGGCAGTGATGCTGAATCAGCGCTTCGTCTAACAACAATATGCATTGCATCAACACCGTCACTGTTTAAATGGCGTGCGAGATTGGAGATTCGCTGTTGTGTTCTTCTCGGAACTTGCTGGTACATGAGTCCATGGTTTGATGAAGAATAATGCGCTAGTGTTAGTTGTTCAACATGTTTCACTGAATCTGACTTCATGTCAGGTTCTTCTGGAAGGACTACTATAGGACTTATTCTGCTTCCACGCCTCAGCTGTGACTGAAGTTTTCTTTCGTTTCTATGACCCTCTTCTTTACTTGAAATCAACGAAGATAAAAATGGGTTACTTTGGAGTCTGTGTAGTGTGTCTTCTGGAGTTTCTTTGACGGTCACCTCTTCAGTAGTGGTTTTTGCCCTGTAAGTAGTTATCTTTGGAGTAGTGGTACTTTGCACATTTATATAAAGTAGTGTGCTTTCTTCTTGATTTTCTTGACCCGGGAAAATCGAGGAAAGGAACGGATTACTTTTCAATCTCTTAAGAGTTAAAGCTGGATCTTCGGGAACATACTCCGTAGTAGTCTTGGGACTTACTGTCGTCACTTTATGAGTGGTTGTAGTAATCGGCTGTTCAGTCACTGGGGCTAGCTCTATATCTTCTACAATGTATTTCCTCAAAGGAGGGGCAGTGGTAGAATCATAGTCTTTTCTTATTTTAACATAATCAATTTTAGAATCCCCACTTTCATCTCTTGGCAAGAAAGGGTGGCGGATATTAACATCTTCATCGGTCAGTCTAACGTTGATGTCGTCTTTCTTGTCGTCTCCCGCCTCTTCTTGTGTTTCGCTAGGTGACCTTACAATCTCTTTGTACTTTCTTGCAGCCCCTACCTCACTACTGCGTGATCGTGATCGTACGGGTCTGTCAAAACTACCCATTGAAATCGAAGACATTCGTTCTTCAATCGCCCTAAGAGCTGCAGTAGGGTGGGTGAATTCGGTATTAAATATGTCACTTTCTGTTCCATCAATACCAACGGCTGTAAGATCTCTTGATTTTCGTTCTTTACTCTGAGACCCAGGTTCGTGTGAAAGGTTGTAAGATTGCTCAGGGTTCAAATAACTTTGCGATCGAGGGAGAACAAGATCAGCATTTTGAGAACTAGCAAATCGTGCAGAATATTTTTCAGGAACGTGCGAACTAACGAAATGTTTTACCTCAGGTTCTTTTATATATTCATTTGATACATTGATTAAGAAATCACCAGTGTGTTTTTGAGTTGGGTTTGGAGTCTCGAACGATTCGCCATATTTATTTTTAGTCAAATGAGAAAAGTTAGTGTTATCCTCTGATGTTTCAGGTTTAATCATATAGGAAAATCTATTATTCTTACTGGTGTAGCTTGATAGCTGAGGAAGAGCTGTCGAGCTTTCAATATAGTCGTGAGATGACCCTGTATTGATATTCCTGTGTTTATGTGCAGTCTTAAAATTGTCTTTGGGAGCGTAAAATTCAGAAGAAGAAGAATCGTCTCTACTTGGCATGTATTCTTTTGATATATATCCAGGAGGAGGTGTGGAAACTAAATAACCGCCGTTCGTATCAGCTAATTTTCTATAAGCTACCTTCTTTTCTTCATCAGTTCTGACATTAGTTGGAGAATGTCTTTGGAACGACACTGCTTCACCATGATTAATGAATTTCACAGGATCAGATAGTTCTTTCACAATCGGAACTCTCTTGCCATTTACATCTAGGTATTTCCCCTCGACGCCTTCCACTCTCGTCGGATGTTTCTCAGTGAGAATTCCTCCTTTGCCTTCTTCATCAAGGAAGGCTAAGCTTCTTTCGTTGGTTGTAGTTTTTTGCTGTTTCCAGGATCCCTTGACCTTGGGGTTTTCATTGGCTTTGACCAGCTGTTTTGCGGAGCCCTCACCCGCAGGATCACCCTTGCTGTCCTCTGGAACCTCTTCCAGATGTCTCAGATGTTCCTCGTAGGCTTCCTCAGGACTAACTTCGCTAGGATCCTTCTCGGTCACCGGGGGGTGGTGCTCTCCAGAGTTGTACTTGTCGGTGTCAGTTTTGCTCGCTCCGTGTTTCTTGTAGCCTCCGTGATCATAGCCTGAGTCTTCGTAGCCTTCTTCTTCGTAGACCTAAAACATGCATAAACATATCACTACTAGTATATCAAATGAGTCATAACAAACAGACCCAACATAAATGTAATAATTATGTTTTATATGAATACATTTAAAAGTGGGTCTTAAAATGCATGAAAATTGTTGAAAATATTAACACCACTCGCGCACAATACTAGTTTTCAGTCTTTTTTCATATAACATGTAGTCGGAAAATTGTTTTCAAGCTTAGTTTACGTCCTAACATTGACAGAAAACCCCATCCTTTATTTATACTCAACCAATCAAACACAATACGCTAGGGGTATCACGTTTAGGTATGCAAGGAAACGGCACGGTTTAGCAAGAGCGCGGGAAACAGAAACAGCTGATCTTGCGTAAACAGCTGATCGGCTGACAACCATGTGATTGCCAACCTAACCTAACCTATACGTTAGCACGTGACCTAACCTATACTCACACGTCACTCTTTTGTGTTTAAGCCCGGTTAAAGAGAAAGCGTTCAGCTACTGGCAAGGTCGGCTTGCTCAACGTCTATTGGCCGTTTAAATGGGTTTATGCATTGAGCTGACCGGTCATTCAGTCGAGTTCCTTTCTCTAATTTATTTTCAGACTGCCTATTCCAGCCGTTCTAAAGTGGAGCTTGGAGTTTTTCTATAGTTTAGATAGCCAACCGAGTCCAGTAATGTTTTTAACCAGTCAATGAGAACATTAAGTTTTGATTGCTCGTTTTAGGTGTAACATTGTCAGCCAGTTACATTGTGCCAAGGTATAATCATTCGTCAACTGACAACTATTTTGAACATTACATTTACTTACTCTCCTTGCATATGTACTTTCAGAAATAGAACATACGCAACATACGCTGCACGTAAAACTAGCTATATGTATTAGTTATTTAAATGTACGTACTTATTTAACGGTCCAGAATCTCTCAAATATTTTGCGGATGTGCCCTTTAGCTGTGTACACGAAAATTATTTAAGATATAGATTGTGTATTAATAAGAGTTATTATTCACTTTGCCATAGACATAAACTCATACACTTTTGATAAATAAACCCGTTGAGTAAATAGCTTTACACTATTCTATCTTTATCTTCCAGTTTGTTTGGACTGGATCTAGTATTTCACATTGAAAACTGTCATAGTAAAAGACTCTCGTTTGTTTCGCATTTTGATATTCATAACGAATTCGGTTGTTTACATAAGTAAGTTATGTCTCACTACAGTAGTATAACTGGTATTTTACCCGAAGATCTTCATTCCAAGTTTAGCACGAAACATAGTATACTTCCAGTAACGTGATTTATTGACTGAGATAAAAGATTATTTATTCATAAACAGTTGAAGACCTTCAAAGTTAGATATTACACCTGTCTTGGTCGTTTGTGACCTTGGTCACAATATTTTGCGTGTAAAAGGTGAACCAGTTCGGTTTTATTGAACCAGCTTGGCTAATACGTAGTGCTACAACTATCATACAAAGATCACTATAAGTATAACCTTTGACTGTTTATAGAACTATACTCCGTATGATGGAACCTGTCTCCTGACCCTTCGTCTTCCTGGGACTGGCAAATGGTATATGGCCCGAATCGGTCCCAGGTAGACGAAGGGTGAGGAGACAGGTTCCATCATGCAGACTATAGACATTCCATCGGCATGTTAAAGTCAGCACTAGTTTTTTTTCGAGCAAAATGGATACAGTTGTAAATTACTGTTTACGGACGATTATACGGACCTTTACCCAAGTCCAACTGATAGGACATATTACTGTAAGCTTTACAACTGTTTATGCCACGTCAACTATGACAGTAACAAATGATAAGGTAGAAATAGAATAGGCACTAACGCATATTTTTACTGGCTGATAATGTAAATAATGTACTCGTATAATCAAAACTTAGTGATGCCTTGTTCATTTACATGAAATATCTACTTCAGTTTTCACAAGACAATGGTATATGACCCTAGGAGGATTTCCTCCTAGATATGACCCCGGGGCTACAGCCCCGATAAATGGCCGATATCACCCTAGCACCAATGATCCAACTTCGGTTCCATTTTATATGCAATAGGCCTACATATTCTACAGGTGACTAGTGTACGGATATCCATACTTAATCCAATAATGCATTTCAAATTTTACTTAATTGTTGAATTATTCATGTGAATTTTCAGAGAGATAGTGGAGACTTAAACGTCCTGTCGTACTGAATTGAACCTTAAAACAGTTGTTTCTTATGCACTTCATTGTATTAAACAGAACAATTTTAATTGATTAAATATGACAATGTCGAAAGAGCTTCGATGTATTAAGACGTACTGTAAAAATATTCTGTGGCTGCACAGTTAGAAATCAAACGACGACGGACTGATCAAGCTAGTTACTACATATCACCACGAAAGTGCAATTAAGTAGTGGATTTCAACTGTCAGTTTTAGGTCACTATTCTCTACCAATTTGTTGTGAAGTGTGGTGGTATTTATTGTAGGGAAATATAAACCAAATATATGATGATAAACCAGGTAATAACGTGTATTTGTAACGATGTAGTATACTGTAAAAACTAAAAACTGCATTTAAGAATCTAAAAAGTATTTAATAAATTTAATATACATAAATATGTATATTAAATAAAGATAAGTAAATAAAGATATGTATATTATGTATATGTATATAAAGATAACGATATAACAAATTCTTTACTGAATAGTAATAGAATGTCCATTCACTGTTGAACAATGTTAATGCTTGAGTAACATCTTCTGTTCCATCGCATAGTATTATATTTATTAAATTAATGTATTAATGCAACTTAAAAATATCGGATAGGATAAATGTGTTTCATATTATGATCTATGTGTAATAGATGCTACTTTTAATTGGGTTTTGTGGGTTTGAAATTATTTATAAACTTTGTGTAGGTACTGTATAACATTCTACATATACATCTTTCTTGTTTTAGGATATAGTTTTCAATATTATACTAATTCCTTGATATGAATTAACCGGAATTTTCCTCCATTAATAATCGTCTGTATTTTAGTACTTTCGACATGGTTGTTGTATGGTATCAGCAAAACCAATTAATTTGATTCTCTAATGAGACAAAGTCAATTAATTGTCAACTGTCAACTTATCGAATCAGGTTGAACGAAGACAAATTATACGTATCATCATTATTTATTTGATGAGGTAAATTATTCGTCACTGCTGATTCCACCCAAAGGATCGCAAAACTTTGAAAAAAGAAATTGCGAAATGTTTATTCGGGGAAGTCTTAATGTCCTGTGAAGGTAAAATAATTTAGATGGCTCCGTTCTGCCAAAAGAGGGCGGATATTTTATAAACTAATAATTTTCTGTGATTATATCAATAACAACAAATCACGATAGCTAATTTATTAAAATTATCACATAAATTAAAGCAGCCTACATTTCCTGTCATAAAACTCATTATGACATTACTAAAACTTCCAATGACCTTTCTAAAAACTAAAATGGGATAAACTACTGCAGGGAAAATAATTTAGTAGAAACACACGATTCTAACAAATTTGTACAGTACTAAACTGATTGTCGATTGCTATCTTTGATACTTTGGTCATGATTTCTCGATCATTGATCTACTATAAATCTGTCCGATTGTCATTGTTAGATAACGTTGACTTCCGCGCTTTCCATTGTTTGTTTGAATCCTGTTGAGATTGGCAGAACTAGAGATTTCCTGCTCTGCTGATCCCATCATGGACCGTCATGCCTTAAACTGCAGCAAAATATGAACACAATAGCAATGTTGCTTGCAGTTCAATCTTTGGACTGAACAATAATGTTTTATTGTGATTGTGATATACATAGACAAAACGAGTCACTCGCACTGTACTATCATCATTAAATGCTATCAAATTAATTAACAAAAAAGTTATTATTTGCCCTTGTTTTTAGTTGTTTTTATTGCATAATATTTTGAAAATAAACAAATATTTGGATTTTACAAAATTCAATATATATATGTATCAGAAGGCTTACAATGAAACTGAGTGAACGTCTGATATAATGTTTACCATACAATGTGTATAGAACAATCAACCATATTGATAAATCCCTAAAATTGTTTTTTCATGGAAAATCTCGAAATGTGCATTTTTCAACATGGAGTTTAATAGTGTAAAATCATGGTAATAACTTTAGCTCGATATTAATGCACTCATATGGATATATTATCTTCGAATTCCTTTAGATACATTATGTTTCTTAGTTTTATTATTTTTCCTTCAATGCAAGATTTAAGAGGAGTGATTTTTCACGATAATCGAACCATAGACAAACATCAATAAATATCTGTGGTAGTCACTACTATGTAAAGAGTTACCGATGTCCTGAATATGTTACTGCACGGTTTCAATTTAAATGAAGATGTTGATGTTACTGACTTTAATGTTTTATATAAAATGCTATTTTTTTCTATTATTAGTTCCTACTCTATTTACTCCACTTCTAGTAAAAGGTGCTGAAAATGTGATGGAGAAAATATCTTTGGTAACGGAATAGAGAACTCAATTTTTTGCAAATGGTATAATTTTATAGTAAACACATTTTGACAGCTGCAAATGGTACAAAAACATAACTGGGAACACTTTCAGTAAAACGCGCACCAACAAAACTACGGACGGGGTTTCTTCCTCAAAGGCAATTGAGCTGTTTCCATATCTACTTATTTCCGAGACTTTTTCACCAACTTTCTCCCACAATACCACTTTATGCAACAAGGACATAATTAGTAACGGGACATGACGTTGTGACCATTCACTCAGAACTGGTAAAAAATTAATAGATGTCGTCATATGTCCGTTGGTCCGGAACAGAAATTCATTTGCTGCTTTGGTTGTCGCATGAATACATTGTACATTGTACAGTTCAAATATTAATATTTTCTGTAATAAATTAAAATAATACATTTCGGCTGCTTTAGGTTTCATTGTCAAACCATACAACCACAGTACCTGCCA